AGTCATTGTTACCAAAAGGTTTGGACACTGTAGATTAGAAATAAAGAGAAAATGCTGTGATTTTTAAACAATTTAAACTCCCCATTGAAAAAAAACAACAACTCGGGATCCGAGTTTTTTGTCTGAGGTTCAATAAAAGTCTTGTAATGCGTTTAATGCATAAAATATTAAAATAATATCAGAATTCATTATTATGAGTAAAAGTGGGGAATTGCTCAACATTCTGACATATATAGCGCAGGAAGACTTCAATAGTTCAAGACTAACATGACCCAAAACAACAATGCAAATACTGTAGGATTCGATTACATTATGTCACTTAATACCAGAGATATGATACAGCACACAGGGACAGTTGAAATCAGTATTTAACAGATGTGATCATTGGGCATTCAGTTGGTACTGCATTAACAAAATTTGTAGTTGTAATCACTATCTTCTTCTATCTCTCATTCACACACATGCATTCTGTCATGTTTCTTGTTTCTACCGACGTTCATTCGTCTTCTCTCTAGAGCATACCTCCACCTTTCCTCACTACAAATCTGTCACTTCAGCGACACACATCACCACTGTTTCTCATGCAGTCCCACAGTTCTACTTTGCAATCTATCATACGTCATGTGAATCAACTGGCTTTTTACTCTTTATCCTCTTCGTAGCTGCCCTAACTTCCTCCTTAATAATCCTCTGCACTTCATGATTCACTGTCATTCCTCCATCTGTCCTCCTTTCTGTCTCATTTTCTTCAGTTCCTCAAATTATTTATTCAATTTTTCAACAAACTCTCTTCATTTGTTACCATTACCTATTACGCTAACCTGCTGCACATTCTCTCCAGTTTCATCTCTCAATCTCAAAGTCCTTTTCTCCTTTCTTAGTGTCCAGCCTCACATACAACCCACTAAGAGCCTTTTCCTTTGCCACATCTCTTTGCTGTATGCATAGATTTTTTTCTAGGCTTCCTCTTATTGCAAACTGCTGTGACTCTTAGTGTTTATAAAACTGATTTTTGTGTTATAACTGTACCTGTTTATTAACATGGGTTTTGGTGATGGCATTAGCAAGGGCTTTGGTGCTCAGGCCTCCTTTCACATCAATAAAATTGATGCCGGCTTCCTCGTGAATGTACACATCCACCTGGGAACAAGTATAATAAAATAAAACAGAAGACCTAATCATGTGTGGTCTTATCTCAGCATTGTTTTCCTAAACAATCACTGAACAGATACCAAGATGGAAGTCACCTTGAAGTCTCTGACAGGCTGCATGGGTCGAGCATGAATTTGCAGCTCATACTTGCCATGTGTGCGTTTCATCAGTTCCTCATATGTGAGTTCAAAAGTGACCTTTTTGTGAGCAGCCACAGTTACAGAGGTCTTAAATTCCTCCAGAGTCCTCCCTACAGAACTGTAGCAGAAACAATAATTACTTCATATAAATGCATTTAAAAATCAGTTATTCCTGAAGAAAAAACTTGATTTTTGAGTAAACTGACTAAAAAGCAAGGATTAAAGTGATATTTGGCAGGTGGGGGGACCCCTAAGGTCAGGTAGTATGCAGTGTAGTGTGGGGAAAAGAATTACTTTGTAATAAGTCACATACTAATCCCTTTTGTGAGCTTTTTTTTTTTTTTTTTTTTAATTTTTCTTTGTGTAAATAGTGTGCTCAGCTAACCTGCGCTACTATTCCAGTTTTCACTGCTCTTTGTGGATTTGGACAACTGCATTCAAAAGTGTACAAACTTATGTAAGCTATAGCCTGTGGCTAATTTAGTACACTTAAATTGTTTTGTACACTCCTTCAGAAAAACAGAATTCAGCAAAACATCATGAATTGGTTCGATATCTGATTTAAAATATCTACAATAAATGAGGATATGACATGCAAGATTTAACTTTCTAATCTAACCTACTGAGCTGTGCAACCCGGGATGTCATTGTTTCACTTTAATCCCTGCTAAAAGGTTTTTTCCTCCTCACACAGTTAAACAAAATTAATTTTAGAGAACTGAAGATACAGAAGAAGACATTAAAAAAATGTTACTGAGAATTTTTTCACATAAACCTTTTAAGTTAATTAATGAATTTAAATACCTGACAAGCCCAGCACTTTCACCACGGGACACAGCTTCAGTGTACTGCTGCTGAGCTTGCTCCTTAGCTTTCACAACACCATCATAAACTTGGCCATCAATAAACCTGAAGAGGACCAAGAAAGCCCTTGTTTACACACTACTAAATATCAGGCAATTTGTTCTTCAGTGTAGAATTTACAAATGTCTCTGGATGGTTACAGATCACTTTAACTTCACACACATTTGGAATTTACTGATGAAGGCATTCTTGGGAATCCGAACATGGAATTCAATTTCCTTTGACTCATCCATACGATTGGCCACACGGCTTGTGATGACAGTGGTGGCATAACGACTGGTCACTGTGGAGTTGATGTGAAAGCTGTAGACGTCCCAGTCATCCTGAGAAAAAACGACAGGGTTAACCAATCTCATTGGCTGGTTTCAGTGGAATTTTATTGGTCTCCCTGCAAAAACCCTAAAATTAGTTTTCATCTAGTGTTCAGTGCACACACTCAAAAGAGCATGACACTCACTTACATTTATACTTTTACTTTTTATGCATCACAATGGGAGTTGTTAGAAATATCCAACACATGTTTCCATAGTTCAAACAACTAAACAAGCCAAATTTACCTTAACCAATCAACACCATCATCAAATAACAAGCTCAAACAATTAAAATGAGATCTGTGATTGTGGATGCACAGAAAGGATAAGGTAGACATACAAACACATACAGTTAGAATTCTTTCACTTCATGGGACATTACATGATGTTATATTGCTTAGCAGAACACTTCATCTTACCCCAATCCTTCTTTTTGTCTCCAAAGTAATGCGCAACTGCCAGTGTTAATGTGTCAGCTGACTTGTACACACACACAGCACATGAACAAAATGAAAAAATCCTGAGGATTGTCACAAGAACCTTCAACCCACCGAGTTTGGTGTTGAACTGACAGAAAGATGCTGAGACACAAAATATTCAATCGCACACCTCAGATATCTCATTATCTGTGAAATATAAATTGCAGAGGTACATAAAAAGTTTGTTTTCTTTAGCTTTTGGCTTTTAAACTATTTATTTAACCGTGTATATTTAATTTTAAATTTATGGATCTTTAAAGTGGTGCTATGGCCGTTTATGTATTTTGACCCTACCTTGTTTAGCAGTGTGGAAGTCAAAGCCAGCTGCAGCCCAATGAGGGTGAGCTGCACCACAGTTCTCCCCATGATGCCTCCTAGCAGAGCACAAACACAGCTGAAACTGTCTTTTTAAGTCAAACATGGACAACATTATTGTGTACAGATATTTTTTTAAAAGGGCAAACTTCACTTTCTCTCCCTCCTCTTTCACCTTCCACCCACACAAAATACTCCCCCAAAGCAGTAATTTACCAGAAATCCGGCAGTTTCTGTAAACTTTAATGTTGACATTGAGGGTCAAACCAGTGCACATCACAAGGACTTTGTCACCACAAGAATCTTTTCTGTGATAGGTAATACTGTTTTGGTCAATTTAAATGAAAGAGACAAATTGACTCCACTCTATTGATGAAACAAGTATGTGAATAATATTGTTTGGTGTCAAGCAA